TGACCTTTCTAAACAAATTGAACAGCGTGCGCGTTTATACGTAAAATCTTTGCTCGTTGGCACTTAGCGATAGTTATAACTTATTAATATTTGTCGCATCGAGTAGTTAGCAAGTAGATTGTATATGTTTTTTAAGGCCCTCTTTACGCCCGATTCGCTTGCTGATGAAATACATTTTTGCTTGGGAGAAGGTGGTGAGAGCGGCCATAGGACCCCCTTGAGTTTTTGTAATGTCGTGTAATGTCGTTATATTCTGCAAATTTTAAAGTTTATTGCACAAAGGGTGACGATCTCTAAAACTTGGCATAAACATTAGACCCATTGATTCTGGGACATGCCACTGCTAAAACTTGCCGGCAAAGTCATTTCAAATGTTCTCCATTTTGACCAGCATTTGGATTTTGCTGAAAATTCATTTTTCGTAAATACTGTTGGAACATCCTCTTACTACTCAGAGGGCCACAATACAAGGCTGCATAGGCCCGTCAAAGCTTGAAGAAAATATTCGCAGTTAAGTGAAATTAACATGATTGTTTGATATATCACTCAGAAGCATGTTCCATAACGAGCTTATAACCCTGCGTTTGCGTTCCAGAAATAGAAGTGTCGTAACTCAAAGGGAAGAAAGAGGATCCCAGTTGTTAAGGCCTTGAATGACAGTTCAGTCCTTGTTTCTCGGCTCTCTTTTTCTTTTCTCTTCTTTTTTCTCTGGCATATATGATTTTAATTTCCAAAAGTGCGATGTCATTCTCCTAGTGCAAGATCCATAATAGCTCTTACCCAGTGAGAATCATAAAATCGGACCCCGGTTACTTTCTAATATATAACTGAGAGTTTACCGATAGTCATGAAAACTCCTTCGACGTATTTTAACAGTTAAGTTGAGCGCTGCATGAAATAATTAAGAAGAACACGCGATTTACATAAGTCATTTGGCAGATGGATTTTTAATTTATTACTAGAAATTGTCTATAAATATATACATTTACTTCAGCCTCCATTCGAATCAGCTCAACTTTCTCTTTGTGGCTGCAAGACCTCAAGATATAACTTTTAAGTCTGCACAATTTGTGGGGAGGGAAGTTTGGTTACCGCTTATCCCTGTACCAGAGCTTAGTTAGCTCGCCATAATTCAGTCCTATAGTACCGGTTATTAAGTTTTTCAAAGTGCGGTCTGTAACGTTTGATATAATTAATGCTTGGAAGACATATTTGTATGCAATGAAGCAGTGATCTTGTCATTCACAAGTAATTTCTTTGCTAGCGTTAAGTTCTTTGGCCAATAAGAAGGTGGATTGGCAATATTAATGCACCTATCAATGTTATGCCGGAGCGGGTTGGGGGGAGTCTCCCAGGGGAGGGGATATTTGAATCTTTCTTCGCCCGACGTGGAGATATTTGACTGCCGACTCGGACGAAAAAGACTGAGACCGAACATATGTTTCCCACTTCCAAGCTTCACACATGCGCCGTACGGTGAGGAAAGATCTGGAAATCATGGAGGCCAAGGAGAACAAGCGAAAGCTGGGTGGATTTCACTGTTTTTTCTTCAAATTTCGTTCGTTTTAGCGTGTTTTTTATCTTATTGAACCTCTCAAGATACTGTGGTATCGAAGTAAACCGAAGTAAAGAGCAACCAAGTCGATTTTTGCAAGTACAATTGATCAGTGTATGGCTCATTCGCTACCATCACTGTAAGCTTATGAAAATGACTTTCTTTGTACCCTTTACTAAGAACAGTATATTTAAACTTACAAAATGTGGACTTTCTCCTAAAGGTTTATGTATTCTACGCAGTGTAACACGGATTATGGTGAAAACGTATAATTGCAGTTGTAACAGGAACGTGTATCTTTGGTGATGCAGCAACGTAATATAAATAAACATTTCAGAGTTTTATTTGGAGATATTTTTTATTGTGCCTTTCTTGCAACTGGGTCCAGCCTTGGGGTATTTGACAGCGCAATGTGCAGCCCGGGGTGGGGAAATTGGCCTGGAATGATTTGCTCGTTGGCAGGGGATTTTACTGTAGATTTTTTAAAAATGTCAAATCGCCACCCTGCCCTGCGCCCCCCCAACCCCCTCCCCCCGTCGGCTTTACATTGATAGGTGCATAACAACATGGGAAGGAATTGTTTGAAAACAACAGTGCAACTAGAATTCTCTTTTATTTGCAGTCATTTTGACTGCCTATAACCAGAACACTTAATTATTAATTGAACTGTTAACTTGCATGACTGAAATTTCTTATTTTCTACCCAAGTTATTAGCCGAAATTAACTTGCGGTAGAGGGAATTAAGCAACGGGGAACATATAAGTTCCCCTTCAAAGTTGGCGCTCTCTTCCTATTGCTAAAATATAAACATCAGTTACACGTAGTTCCCTGCTCTAAGACAAAGACCCCGAAGGGAACCTTAGGAAAAAACCCCTGCCCAAGTAGTACTTTTTACCCAAAAAATTACCAACCCATTCATTTGTTTCTTTCTTGTTTCAGATAATGGTCGTACACTAGAGTTCCCAGGACCTTTCTCCTTTATTAGCAAGCGTTTGGTGAACCACACTATAGGAACTAAAATTGTTGCTGATTTTGAGAACTGCAAGCTGTATTGTTACTACGAACACAACTGCGTGAGTGTCAACTATCACGTGAGCACAAAAACATGTGAGTTAAACAACGTTACTCATCGATGGCATAATAACGAATTCAAAGATGAAAATGGTTACCTCTATCATGGAGCAGATGTAAGTTCTTTCTAGTTAACTGCTCTCCTTCCCCTTCCCCCTTTTCCTCCTCCTCCTCCTCCTCCTCCTCCTCCTTCTCATCATCATCATCATCACCGTCAACATCATTTCTCGTTCAATTTTCTTCTTCTTCTTCTTCTTAAGGTGAAAAGAAAAATTTCCACTGACTGTATCACTTTATCCTAATCATCCAGCTACTCATTTGCTTCATTTACTATTTTCTCTGTTTCTCTTTTAAGAATGCCTGCGAAGAGTTCAATTGTTTAAATGGAGGAACCTGTCAAACCGGATTCTCAGCAAGAGGATATCGGTGTTTGTGTCCTTCTGGTTTTAGGGATTTTCGCTGTCAAGCAGGTAAGAAAGTAAAATAGGTAAAATGAAGCCTTCCTTTCACTTAAGATTTGCGGCCTTCGAGAATTGCTTTTCTTAGTATGATTTGCCGTCGTACCAAATCCATCCCCGCACACTTCAACGTTTGGTGGACTCTTTAGCGACGGATTTCAGTGGACATGTTGGGTGGATTTCTGCATAGCGTCAAACTCGGAGAGTGTGTTAGTAACAACCAAAGGATGAATACCATTTTTCCCTCTACAAACAATTAGGTGATTGAGAATGATCGAGCGGATTGTTAGTTTGGTTGCACGAATAGAAAATCGTCGAGAATAAATCTACTGGTTGTCGTCTCAAAGATAAAAAACTGACGGTCCGATCGAGTGTGAGAAGACAAGAGGAAAAGAGGACAAGATCCTAATCTCCATCACACCTTCACTGTACGTATTGTAGGTAGCGTCGTTCAAACTTCCACTAAGAATGCAGTGGAATGTAGAAGTCACAATCTGATAACGCTCGTCTGGACCTTCTATCACTAGTTATCTGATTACGCCTGATTTGACTTTCTATCACTAAAACTTACGCAAAGCACAGAATTGGTTGAGCAAGAGCATCATATATGTCAGATCTTCGCTGTCGTCAGCACTCCGTAAACCTTTAATACATAATATATCTTTGTTGTCGCATACTGTCCTGCGTAGAATTCATTCAAGATGCATCTTAACTAAAATTAATTAACATTCAGATATAGACGAATGCCAGATCAGCTCTCACACTTGTAGCAACAATGCCATCTGCACTAACACCAAAGGTTCCTTCAACTGTAGTTGCAATCCAGGTTATAGTGGGAATGGCCACATCTGTTCAGGTGGGTGCTTGCGAAGTTTTATATATTATTTACTAGGGCTTGCCAATCCTTGCACGGTCACCGTTACAGCCCACACTGAATTACTGGGGCCCTTAACAGTTCCTTCCCTCATGAGAAATAGACCACCACACAGTACGTGGGTTCTTCATCTTTCCAAGGAATTTATTTGTGCCAGGGTTGTGAGATGGGGACTACGATTTATCCGTCCCTATCCGAGAAGACTAAAAAGTCTAACCGTTTGCAGATTTCTTCACCGTGTACTTTTTTCCATCTGTTTACGTTCTTAAGTTTTGAGTACTTTTGGTTATAAAAAATAGGTAAAATAAAAGGCACACAACCACAGAAGAGCTATTATATTATGTAAGCGACTGCTCGAAGTATAGGAATACAATTTTACTGGTATGATATGCTTTACGCCTCGTATCATTATCATGTTAGAAACCAAAGTTAAATATATGCGGTTCTTTTCTTATTGATGTAAAGCAAATTGGCAGCGAGTTTCAAAACAAGAGAGTGTTTATTGTAACATTAGCAGTGCTTGTATATTCCTTCAATAATCAGACGACCACTTTGTTGTGGAATTCCTCTAATACGACAGATAATGCACTTTTGCAGTGTTTATGTTTATCTTTTCTCGTACCAGCACCTTTAAATTTACTGGGTTTATTCTTCAGACATAGATGAGTGCAACGCTGCAAATAATAGCTGTCATGAAAACGCCTGGTGCAATAACACTCAAGGGTCATTCACGTGCTCCTGTAAGCCAGGGTACGAAGGTGATGGATACAATTGTACAGGTAAAATTCTTTGGGTTTTTTCAAATCCATTTAAAACAATTAGCCTTAGTTTGAGAGGTGACTGATTACATGTCCTGAAATCAGTGCGAGAAAGGGAATGTGTTTTAACCGTAACTGACTATTTAACAATTATTCCTCTAGCCGAATGGGCTCTGAGTCAATAGCCCATGAGACCGAAGGCCGAATGGGCTATTGACTCAGAGGCCATGATTGCGAGAGGAATAATTGTTTTAGTAAAATCCAACTGGTTGGTCAGAAATATCGAGACAAAACAACTTTAGCTGGCAAAACGCGATTCAGCCGCCATTGTATTGGTTTTCAAAGCCGGCACTTTTCGCTACTAGTGGGCTACAACGTATAGCCTCAACCAATCAGACGCAGCATTGATAATAGACCACTGGTTGGATTTTACTAAATAATTATATTTTACTGGTGGCTATATTGATTACCCTTTTGTTCAGGCAGAACAGATTTAATATTTACTTTAATTATCACTCAGACGCAGACGAATGCCTGAACAACTCTCACAATTGTAGCGAAAATGCCACCTGCACCAACATCGAAGGGTCCTTCAACTGTAGTTGCAATCCAGGGTACATTGGAAATGGCCACAACTGTTCAGGTTGGTTCTTGGAATTCCTGTCTCGCTTTCTGTTAGTTTTGAGACTTCTGGTTCAGTGCAATAGGGTTAATGTTCAGCATTGCACTTTTATAAATTGAAGTAAATTAAAGGAAATTGTTACTCGCTCTTTTTATAATAATTTCATTTATTTGTTCATATATTATTTACTTACTCATTCATGAATCTAACATCTCAGTCGTCGCGTATTGTGGATAACGACTCAGAGCTCATCTCTGTATATTTGCACAACGCGGAAAGCAAGAGGGAGTAACTATTAACCCCCTATTCTGTACTACGATGGGAGTATATAAGATAAGATGGTTGACCGAGATAAACAGTATCCATTTATGAGCGCACTTCTTGGAAAAAGAGAGATCTGGCCGACAGCTTTTACTAACATTTCTTAGAGGGTGGCTTAGTGGGTGGAAAAATTCTGAAGTCATTCTCAATCACACAACAAACCAGTTTCACTTCGACAAACAGCTCTTGCACAATTTTACTTTGGATAGGAGTATTATGATACACAATACGACCAATATACCTGCCAGGTCAGGCTGTGGACTGATAAAAGCCGATCAAGCTCTTCTTGGCGGGTATAAATGAAGACACTACATCAGAACATGTTAATTAACTATTAACACAGATCACGACATTACTAACACGGGGGAACTGATTGTATTTGTAGAATCTGTATGAGCAAAGCTGAATCACGAGATCATTCAAAATTCAGATGCATTTACAATGTAGTAACTTTGTCCCAAAACAAACAATAACAATTATAAAAAAACTGGTAGTGCTCAAGGTGATGCGTGGTTGAGACGCATATCAGCGAATAATCTACTTAATTCCTTTAGAAAATGTCATTAGCCTCTTAAAGACACTATTACTGCGATGTCCAGTAGTCTTTGGACTACCCTAAAAAGGTTTGGTATTAATCTACACCTTTCGTCAATCCCTTTACTACATCCTTCCGTCCACCTGGTCCAGGCGATCATCCCATAAAAATGTATGCAGTTTTATCTCGCGTTCCAGTAAGAGAACACCTAATCAGTTCGATCTGCTAAGGTAGATCCTTTGTTCAGCGTTCCTTAACTGAACCGTGCTATAACTCATTTTCACGCTCTCGTTCATTTCGGAATTGTCACGTGGCTTTGCTGCTATTCCTGCATGTTTGCTACAGAGTTAACGGTATTTTTTGTTTGTTTTGACCGGTTTTCTTTGTTAATGTTATTTTTCCTCGTTCTCTCTGTTCATTATCATTCTAATATGCATGCATGCATGCATGTTTTTTTTTTTTTTCTTTTTTTTGAAGAAAGATTAGTTATTCATCCATCCAGCCATCCATTCATTCACTTTTCCACCTATCTACCTTTCTATCTTATCTATCTCCAGGACATGAGAAAAATGAGACTGTTGCTGTGGTATGCAGAGAAGAGAAACTCTGACCGTGATATTTTCTCATCCAAAATAACCTTTTTGTATGATCCATGTGTTTTAATTTTCAGAATTTTCAATAAACTCGACAATATTACATGGAAATCAGTATTATCTCCGACATCTTCACCGTTTTCTTGCTAGCGCTCCAGAGGTTGGGGAGGATTCTTCCTGGTTTCTTTGCTACAATGCTACCTCACATGGTTGGGGAGCCAAGACCTTCCATGATAGATGCGACGGTAAAAAAAATACTGTGACCATCATACAGAAAGACCAATATGTCTTTGGAGGATACACTGACATTCCTTGGGGTAAGATTTGATATTTAACAATTAATGAATGAGGCTGAGTATCTTATGAAGAATTATGGTGATCGAGGAGGATGTTATCCGTCGAGGCCGTAGGCTGAGGCGGATAACACCCTCCGAGATCTCCATAATTCTTCATATGATACGAAAGCCGAATTCAATAATTGTTGTATTATTCATTCAAAATGATTCCTAGTTTAAAAACATAGCTAAAACATGCTTACCTCCATCGATGTTAAGTTCATCTTCGATGTGTACATTTATGTTTGTCCAGCTCCGCAAATATTCTCCAAATAGCAGATGTCGCCCTCCGCCACTTAATATCACTCTATGTCAGGCTCATTTTCAGCTCCCCCTCCTGATAATTATTGGACCATCCCTAAAGCCCTAAATCAGAATTGGGGAAATATTTTGAATGAATAATAATTTTTAAGTACTTAAGTACACCTTACAATACTCCTACAGGTGTCCCTAGTAACTGAAATATGATTCCAACAATAGTACTTGCATTGTAGTTTACAATAGCGTAATGCTTTAATTATAGAGAGCGAGAAATACTATTTCCTAAATAGTGAATTATTTGCCACAGACATACGCCTCCATACGCCGTTTACACTATACTTAAGCTATCTACGTTTCACCCGTTCAAATGAGTTAAATTCTGACAACATTCAGGATTTTTTTTATCGCAAAGGAGCTACATTATTTATAAAACGGCGCCCCGTATAAACACCCGGCCTAATTCTTAAAGTAAAAAGATAGATTCTGCATTTAAGCCAAGTGGCCCATCCGAGATTGGAGCGTTAACTCCCTGTTTCCACTAACATGAAGCGAAAGTAGTATTGCTTCCTTCGCTTTGGAGAAAATGATATTCCATCGCAAGGTTACGTGATGCGATATGAAAAGAAACACCATCTCCATCATAAAGAAAGGCCCAAGGGTCTTCGGAGGATAAAGTGACGTTCCTTGGGGTAAGATTTTATATTGACTTTTAAGTATCTTTGGTAGATAAAAGATTCAAGGGCTTTAGGGACTGTGCAATAATTATCAGGAGGGGAGCTGAAAATGAGCCTGACATAAGGTGATATTACGTGGCGCCTCTCGTCGACTTACATTTGCATGTTCTCTCTTTATACTGTTCTGTGACGTTTTTCGACGGCTGCGTCCGCAGAATTACCTCAAAACTACGCGGTGAGGCAAAGCCAACCATTTCAGAACAGTCGAATTGCGCATCGTCTCTTGAATTCTCCTGTGAATCACTGGATTAAAGCTTTGAGTCATTTGCTTTGTTAGCCATCAATTTCGCCTGGTTGAGTCATGACCAGAACGATTAAAACTCAGAACGCGAGCTAATAGTCTCTCTTTCCTCGACCTCTTTTAGGGTAATGTTTTCGTCATGTTTGCCATGTAATCTAACTGGGGAGGTATTCTCGTATTCCGCTATTCAAGCAATGTTCGTGTTTGCTGAGGTTACCTGGCACTTCCCTTTGGCTGAAAATCTCTTTACATTTAAACGTAATTATTACTCATCCAAAATATTTCCCCAATTCTGATTGGCTAAAAGCACACGCATAATTCACCATAGCCAGTTACTGATGACCAAATTTGAAAGAAGTTTGTGTTTAACGAGGAAATGACGTCAAAAATGCAGCCCGCTACAGGTTAATGCACCTTTAACCGAGAAGACCTGGGGACGAGGTTGAGTTGTTTTGGTTGTGAAAACAAAAATGGCCGACACTCCACTCGTTTCAAGAGTAAGAACTACAGCTGGAACAAGGCCAAATAATAGCTAAAAACATAGCAAAAACAGCAAGAAGACAACTCGGAAGACAAACTAGGAATTATTTTGAATGAATAATAAAACAATTATTGAATTCGGCTTTCGTATCATATAAAGAATTATGGAGATCTCGGAGGGTGTTATCCGTCGAGGCCGTAACACCCTCCTCGATCTCCATAATTCTTCGTAAGAAACTCAGTCTCATTCATGAATTGTTAATTAATTATTACAGAGGAGACACCACATCCGTTAGTTACTTGTGTCTCGTAACGAGACACCTCCTTTTTAAAACCTTGGTTACACCCATGTTCTGTTAAGTAGAAATAACTGAAGCTAAAATATCATGTAACCAGGATTGTTCAAGGCTTTGGTACTAATTATTGCTAGTCAGTTCTTTGATATATTTTGATCACAAATAAATCATGCTTCGTGAAAAACCTAGCCTGCGTAGCAGGCGCTTGGTAGTAGTGGGCACAAGGAAAAACTGGCGCGCGAGAAGGAGACACGCGAGGGAAGAGGGAGCGTCTGCACGGAAGGCCCCCGAAAATCGTTTCCCGCCCCCTCTCCAATAACCTGGCAGCCGTTGCGTGATCTGTCAAAAGTTTTGACAGAAAACGACTGAACTCGCACAAACAAAGCGTGCCGCCAAAAAGCGTTGTACATTTTATCTTCGGTCTAAATATATCTGTTATAAAGATCAGCTGAGTTACCCGATTATAGAGCGATGGAGTAATAAACTGATGGTTAACACACAGCTTTAAATCGTTTTTAACCACGGGCACAATAAATAGGAAATAGCAAAGTCAAAACTCGGTATCTTTTAAAGAATGCATGCTGTGTATCATAAAAAACTAAAAATATTGTTCTCTGAGCTTACTTAGCCACAACTGGACAGACACCAACGATCACAGCGTTCGTGGAAAATGACCATTGCTTTTACCGCGCTAAGTGGCAGCCGTTTTTGGAGCAGACATGTCTTACTAAGCGGACCTAAACTTCAGAACACAAACTGCACCGACATGTTTTTCACTGCAGCCATGAACGAGACATGATAAACAACAGACCTCAGGTTGCCTCCGAAAGGCGAATAATACAACAGTGACATGTTTTTTCAAATTCATGCCCCTGGTAAGTTTTTCATTTCATCAATCATGTCCAAGTGTTGATGGCATACGTTCCATCGACAACACAAACCGCCAAAACCGCCAAGTTCTCCTGAGCAAGGAATATTTCCTCTGATCTTCATTGCAACGATTCGACAAATCTTTTGTCTCTCGCCACTTATGCTAATGCGTATCTGATGTCAATTTTTTCCATCGTGAATACCGTTTGAACACTCCAACTTTTCTTTAGATTACAGCCACATAGTCCCATTAAACCAGATTGAAGTGACCTCCGAGACCTGAACTTCGAATGTATACAATTTAATGATTTCAGGAGCTAGTGGTGTAATATAAGATCTTCACTACGTTGTCCATGTACTATTGATTGACACTTTTCTCGCCCCGCACGGTTAATTTTTCCCTCGGGAGCCTCTCGACCAATTGGAAATATCCGCACTCACAGACTGCGAGTTGCAACGATTTTCGGGAGTCTTCCGTGCAGGCGCTCCCTCACTCCTCGCGTGTCTCCCTCGCGCGCGCCCGTTCTCTCTTTCGCCCACTACTTCCAAGCACGCAGGCCATGAAAAACCAGACCTTCAGATCCGAAGTTCGAGGAATTAGCCGCTCGGCCACAAACCTTTCAGGTATTTAGTTCGTGCAAGACAAACTTTTGAACGGCGAATAAATCTGTCTAGTAATCTTATCTTATCTAGGTTGGCTGGAAAAGTTTATAGCTTTTTTCAGCGCATTCATGGATTGACAATGTCCAAGTATTATGAGACTGCCAAAATCGGTGGTTTGACAAAAAAATTCTCATAAAGTTTAATTAAAAGGCTAAAGGAATAACTTATTTAAAATCCCGCTTAAATAACTCATCCTACTGGTTAATGGGAGGGAGCGGGTGGTTTCAGACCAGCTCCCTTGGGTTTTTACCATGTTAATATATTTCGTAAAAATTTCACGATCTTGTAACAGAAGATATAGGGCTTATCAGCAATTGCGCTGCAGAGAGCTATGTTCGACACTATCTCAAATTATTAGGTTAAAGGCATCTGACGACGCTTGCTTGTTGAACCAATTTTGGAGCCTGACAAAAAGCATGGAGAAATCTTTAGATACATGCACCTCGCGAATACTACTTATAGCGCTTAATATCCTACAAAAACAACATACTACGAACAATGAACTTTATAGCGATTTATGAAACTAAATGAAAGAACCAGAAAGGCTTGCCATCCAGAGAAAGCAGCATCAAAAGTTGTGTTGTAGAGGCCAGCAAGAAAAACCGTTAACCGTGGAAGAAGAACTGAAGACACGATATCTTTTATTGACTACCTGATGAAGGACGCCGATCTGGAATCAGTTTCAGAAATCAAACTACAATAACAGACAAGACAGAGCAAGGTACGGAAACCTTGTCAGCTAAGTTTAGAGGACTTCCCGACCGAAGTGAGGCGGTGAGGTGATCTTAGATTTTGATGAAAATTCAGATATCAAGTAAATTTGGTACAGTTTTTCTTGTCATTGTCGGTTAGCTTTACCTCAATGATTCCTCGCGAAGCGAGCCATCCAAGGAGCAAGATAATAATTTTGTCGAAATTCGTATTGCGCGAGAAATGTACGTGAATGTACGTGGACCGTGGCATGGTCCATGTACGGCGTTTTCCTAGTCTCTCTCGGTCAATTCACTTCGCTTGGACCACACGGCCCGAAACGCTTTGGCCGCGCGGAATAATGAGGCCTAGCGAGTAGGCAACGTGGACCCCACAGCGCGGAAGAAACACGACTCAGATTCATATGCAACTCGCGACGCCACAATCGATGACGTCACTACGACTGCCAAGCAGATATATGATATATCTGGTTGGCAGTCGCAGTGACGTCATCGATTGTGGCGTCGAGTTGCCTCAAGGTTTCTAAGCAACGCGACTTCCACTGGCTACAAAGGCCAAAATGTTCGTTCATCCTTTTTGAAAAATGTTTACCGTTGGTGAATCACCACCGATACTCCTCATACAAATAATGTATAACGCCGTAAAGATACTTCGCGACGGTCTTGCGTCAAAACACTTATCAGCTTTGTACGCCATACATGTATATTCTTCAAATGTGATGAATTGAGTTAAAGTACGGCTTTTACCTTCAAAACTCTGCTTATTTTCCTCGAATATCTCTTTGAATTCTTTTTTAATTTTACGGCAAAAAAAGGTTAAAATATTATTTCCCCCCCTCGTTTTGTGATTTTGTTTTGTCCTTTTTTAACCTTATTGTTCCTACCTATTGGCTGGTTTCAATTTGTTTGTACTACTGCCCATTTACGCCTTCGCGAGGAGTTGCGATAAACGTATTTCTAGTTATAACAAAAATCAGATTAACAAATAAAAATGACGTCATCGTACAAATAGGTTACCTTACTGTCTTCTGAAAGGAAAATATACATGGTGACAAATATGTTAATTAAAATATAAAAAAAAAAAGACATTAAGTATATTTAATTATTTGAATTTATTATTTCATGTTTTTTGTTTTGTTTTGTTTTGTTTTGTTAGAATCCAATGCTGGATTTGGCGAAACCCCCAACGCGTTTATCTTTTCTCTCAACGATTTTGGAAGGCTGGCACCGTTTGTGAGCAAGGTAAAAAAAGCGAACACAAAAGAGGCCATCGAAAGGAGTTCAGTTAATGGTCCAATGTTTGGTCAGGACCTTCTCATTTTTTTTAACGCCCCGTCTGGCCAGCAGTCATACACAGAGTTTGGCAATTACTACTCTGTTCCAGCTTCAGTGATGGCCAAGTTGGCAAACCTGGGCTGGCATCAAAGGATCTTCTCACCTGATGAGGTGGAGGTATTTTATCTTGACCCATCCCGCTAAATGCAAGATAACACCAACTGAGTTCAACTAAAAGCGAGGGGATGCATTTAATATAACCCAAACTTCCAATCAATTCCTTTTTAGTTTCTCTTTCTTTCTTTTCTTTTCTTTCTTTTTTTTTGATAAAAAGAACATAATTATTTCTGGAATTGGGAAATGTTAGGTTATGCCAGAGAGTGCATGCTTTCTTAACGTCACCATGGCCAATCTTGCTGCAAATCTCCCTGCGACGCATCCTACTAGCATGTTTTACCCTTTAAAAGCAGTTTCTGTTGAAGAAAGATATTTTTCTTGTGAAAACTCTACAATTGTTTACTTGTATCTAAAGTCAAGTGTTCAATTATTTACGACACAGTTTTGTTTGATCTACGTCAAAGCTCCTTTGTTTCCGTGAGGCTTCCGAAAGAAGACTTAGGCCCGGTTCAGACGCCGTACTTTTCATGAGCCGAACCTAATACATTGAATTAAGTACATGAAAAGTTCGGCGTCTGAATCAATTAGGAACGCCTGTTTCAATTTGGAACGGCTCACCCGTTCTTTTCGCCTAGCCCGGCCGGGAATTTCGCCTTTGGATCGACTTTGGAACGCCTTTGATTCAGACGCCGAACTTTTCATGTACCGAACCTAATGCATAAATTCTTATAACGTATTTTGTAAGCAGTTTGACCAAAATGCGCATTTTTCGCCTTCTGAATTTAGTTCGGCTGGAATTAAGATCGGCGTCTGAATCAATTTAGCCGGTCTAAATAATTTGGGTCGGCCTTAATTCGAATTAGGTTCGGCTCATGAAAAGTTCGGCGTCTGAACCGGGCCTAATTCATGATGTGCCAAAATAGCGGTAAATTTGAACGTTCACATTCAAAAAATCACGTTGTGCTCATATGGCAAAACATGTGATTTTTTCGGGGAGGCTATCGTAGTAATGCGTACTTTCAATTAAAAAATACAAATCTTCTCGTAGTAATAAGTAATAAGTACTTTAAAAAAAAAAATGTTTAGTTTATGGACACTAAAGGGTTGAAATCTCAGGATAGAATTTTCCCTGTTAGCGTTTGTCATTGACGTAGGTGTAGTTACTAGATTTTTGATATATAGTTTAGCACATATTTCAATACAATTTATTAATTCCTATACGTAAGCAACGTTAATTGCGATATATTCAGTCCATTTACATTATCCCAACATTTTGTACTTTTATGATAATTATCCAATATAGCTTGCCACAGTATTTATTCCATGCCATCAGATATTCATCCGATGTCATTTTGCATTTTCATCACTTAATGTGTTTCGATGCAGTTTTATTCACACTGAGATGCACTGAGAAAACAGGTTAGTTTTCAGGATTGCAAGAAAGAAAATACGTCAAAGTTTCTAAGCAGCGAATTCTACTTAACATTAATTTGAGTTATTATTTAGAACTTTTTAATCAAATCACATATCAGGGATATTAAAGGGTTTGGTTTGAAATGTATTCGGTGAAATATACTAAATTTTCATTTGAATTCAAACGTACACAATTGTTTTATCTCTCACGCAGGCTATTCGCTAAAGACCAAACCTTACGTTCCTTGTGTCGGATTTTCAGTAGCAGGTCTTGATCACTCAAAATTCGGCCTCTTTAGATTTCAGACGTTTTTGTTAGTTGTCGTCATAGTGATATCGATTAGACTTGAAACTGCATTTTGACAAACTCCATTTTATAGTCAATCACTGGTGAAGGACAAGGATATTAAATAACTGTTAAGGCGAGTGAAAAATATCGGTATGGTCTCCCGAAAACTGCATCGAAACACCTTAATTAACTTAAATTGTTTAGAAATATTATAATTTTTGATAGCAGTCGCTCGCGATAGATATTTGATTATCAAGTAAAGCGAGACAAAGGAGGAAACGGAAAGGGAAGAAAAAAAAAATGTTTTGCCTTCCCATTACCCCTTGCTATTGCTCGTTCCCTGTATTCTCCACTCAGGCCCAAGACTGCGCTATGCAGAACCTTGAAAAAAGCCTGCGTACGAGGCAGTAGAGTTACTAACGGATGTGGGGTGTTATTGATGTTCATCCAATACCTTCTGTTATAGTTTATGACTTCTAGTGATTTTTGGCATCATACAACAATATTAAACACTTAATAACTGTTCCCGAGGAAAGCAAAATTTACTGTTTCTCGAGGGAACAGTCTTTAAGTGATCTGTTATATGGCTGAAAATGTTGAAGCTGGAAAACATTCTTTAAACCTCGCTGTAACATTACCCCTGACGTCATAGATTTTGCAACGTTGCCCGCTCAGAGATTTTGGCGGGAAACAGTTTCATTGTTAGATGCGATGTGACCTCGAAGTAACCAATGAGGGTGCGCGTTGTAAGAAACAAATTTCCGGCTATATAACACTTCAAAATGTTCAAGGGCGATAGCGAAGTGAATATAAAGTAAAATTGACTATAGTGCACTATGATAACTATACTGTAGTTTACTTAAAACACTCACAAAGTCTGGCACCTTTACTATCGATTACGAGTACTATTTAAGGCACGTTTGTGTGCACACTATTATAAGAAAAAAAATGTAAATTATATAAAGTCCAGCGCAAATAAAGAGAAAAATGGATTAAGAACATTGCCAGAGAGATTCTTTGGGTCGCTTGGGTTGCGAGCATTGTATATAGTATTGATTATTCAAAGTTGAAACATTACGGCCAGAAACATCATCTCTTTATCATATCATGACCCAGGAGTCATTTTATAAGTTAAAGGTTGAGTACATGGATCCTGGATGATCGCCCGGGTGAACGAAGTCCTGAATAGGACTGTTGTTGTTGTTGTTGACAGTAACAGAGGTTTCGACAACCTGTGCGGTAGTCATCTTCAGAGTCAATGTGAGTTGTATCACGTCAGTTGTAGGTATTAAACTCGGGATATTGACCTGATTGGTCAATTAAGTCTTGATCTTATTGGTCGTATGTCAGTTACGCCGTGATGTTATTGGCTAAGAAGACTCGTAATGTTATCGGTGCATTTCGATCCGTCTATTATCACAGTTAAACAGTCGTTTGACTGCTCAGTCTGTCGAAAGATTTAGGAGGACGAAGTGTCGTAGTGAAAAACAAATGAAAGCGATGGCTGTATTCGTTTGAGTAGGAACCTTATGTTTTGTAAGTGAAAAAGGGACTTTGCAGTGTCTTTCTGAAGATAACTGCCGACATCGATCTCGCCGCGTTTCAAAGCAGGTATAACTATATTTTTAATTTTTTGTAGACTTTGCATTGATTTTAATTTCCTGAGACGAATAGGCCCTTTTTAGAACTGTTGCTTGTTATCACTTAGCAACGGCTCGCAAGATCGCAAGCCATCCAAGCATTCATTCACATCACAAAGCTTTGAGTGCGATCGCGGAAAGGCTTCCTAGGGAATTCAAAGGTAAAGCAGCGTTAAATAGGCGTTTGCGCCTTTTTTCAGCAACTTTTCCTTTTTGTTTAATAGTTTTATTCCGTATAGGTTCCTATTTTGACTTTGGTATATATGAATTTTCGACCATTTGCGGACATGCACGTGCGTATTACCTAATAGGAAGCTATACCCCCAAACCAGATGAGCCTAAAACCGTGCCTTTCCTAAGACCCTAACATTTACGTTCTTTGTAGTCAAGGTAAGGAACGCAGAGTGACGGATCAAAGTGCAAGACGACTTGTTTCCCTTTTTTTTTTCGCTGGAGTCGCGCGGTTGGCTTGGGAAAACTTCTAACAAAAACGATAACCCTATTTTTATATATAATTATATTCAACTGATAACTTTATTTTATTCTTCTTGAGATAAAATTCCATAGCAATGTCACCGTCTTTTATTGGCGAACATCGACATACTTTTAAAGCAAAGACCGTGCTGCAACTTTGAACTGCAATTCATATATCTTTCAGTTCGTCTTACAGACCCTATGCATAATACAGTGGAACCTCAATTTAACGAACCACTACAAAACGAAGTCCTCGAGATAACTAACGGTTATCTTACCCCAATAATAGTAGAATACTAATGAAAAATAACAAAACCTCGTTATAACGAACAAATGTTGTCAGTCCCTTGACCCTTCGTTAAATCGAGGTTCCACTTTAATGCGTTTTCGTTTGACAAGGTAGATATTTTTACGCGTTTTGGCCTTGCGTTCACACTGAAGAGGTCAAACGAAGGTTTAGGAAAACGCTATCGAAAGGGGAAGATCTGATTGGTACGTTTTTGACAGCTCAACACCAGAGGAGCCATAGGGGGTTCTTGGGGCGGAATTCAAATTTATGAGACGTCATTGCAAGCTCTCCCTCCCCTTTTCCCTCCCCCACCCCCGCATCCCCTGGAGAGCTTGCTCGCAAACAAAATGCAGGTCCAAGAATGCCCTAAAAGGCAATTAGAGACACAGAACTCTTAACGGGTTTTTGCCAGCGAAAGTTAAGGAAAGCTAAGGTTTTATCATAACGAATTGGTGTGGAAGAGTCCTCGGCTTGCTATATTACTATAAAACTTACAACAAATAATCTGTTTTGCAAGGGCGCGTGCCCGCATATTCGCCACGGCATGCAGTCGTTACAGGAGAAGAACTAGACATTCGTGTTTGGCAGAACCTCGCGCAGCTCGTTGGGGGATGGGAGGGCGGCACAGAACTGGAGTAGCCTCGGCTTGGTCGTTATATTCTCTAATGTATCAAGCTGTGCTACGTCTGTAATTGAAGAAACGCCACATGTTTGAAATTCTTTCAATTTAAACACAGGAAACCCAGTTCCACCTTAAAAAATACTGATGAGAGTGTAATTGGGTAAGAGACGCGCCAAGCAGCAGAATATATCAGTCACTGGTCTTTTAAAGCAAGCTGGACGGCATGAGAAAATGGATGACGTTTTCGTATACCACGAATGTCAGAGCACACGCTGGAGTCACTCTGTAAAAACAAAAACAAACAAACTTAATCACAAACAACGTTTGTCTCGTGCCTTTTACTATGTTCGTTTGTTTTTTCATGTGCTGTTCCTTTACGTTTTGTCTAGTTGTTCGTTTTAACTGTATGTATTAGCGAGTTGTTTTCAAAGTTCTGAACTTCCCTGCATACAGTACAAACATTGTAATCGTCATCTTTAACAAGTGGCCACCTTTATTAAGCGACCTCAGCTACCCCTTTGCAGTCCATGTTTTGCCTTTCTTGTTATTTTTGCCTGTGTGAACTAGCGAGCACCCGCAAATGTAAGAAAGTGAAGGAATGAGACATTTCGGTGTGAGCGTCAGGGCTCGCAAACACTGTCTGGTTGGCCGGCAGGATAACGGATAGTCCTTTATCATGACGGTGAGTTTATTTCCCCGTTACGGCTACAAGTCAGCAACTTTGTTGAAAGAATAGAAAGTGAAAGATCAATACAGATCAGGGTCGCCCTGGTATAGTTCGCCTGAAAGGACGTTGATTGCTTTATAGTTTGATAGAATGAAGAATTGAATGAAGTGTTCTTCTATGAAGACTATCAATAAATTGCGTTTCGACCGCCACACCCAGTGGGTAATTCTTGTGATCTTTTATTGAGTGACCACCTTCATTAGGCGGCAAGTCCCTCGTCGAGGGTGACCATTATAACCAGATCAAACTACAGTTATCATTTTCTATTATCACTTCAACTTTCCATGCCTATTTGTTGGTTGGTTTGTCTGTTTCTAGTATGAGCCTTATTTCAGTCAAATAAAGCAGGCTGGAGGAGCGGGTATAAATCCCGGGCGGTCACAGAGTTCATTATCAAAAGAAAATGCCACACCGCTGTCTGTTTAAGACCTTGACTCAGACCAGACGATCGGGAAGTGGCCTTAAAAATCGGAAAAGGCAATCATAATATCGCGGATTTCATTATAGTTACATAGATATCTGCGCGTTATTAATTCTTAAATTATTATCATTATTTCTAGGCCTTTGGCCTTACTTCCTTCATCCTTCCTATCATTAATAGTTCATCAAAAGGGGACGAACAGTACTGAACATTCGTTTTAAGCCGAATTTTCGTCCCATTTCGACTCATTGCACGAAATTTCGCCGACAACAGATGCACCGACTTTTACCGATATTCCCTCTCGAAATTCGTGAATTTTGACGAATTTCGGAGAAGTTTGATATCATTACTTTCGCATAGTGTTGTAAAACAGCCAACTGCCACTATTGTTGAAAAAGAATAGGAAATGTTTCCCAGGTGGTGTGGTCTACCGCCTCTTTTGTTGCACTAATCATGCATAGCACGGGGTGGGAGGATAACAGTAAGCTAGTGAATGAACCAATAGAGCCAGCCAGTGACGTCCCCGTAATACGGCGTATGCTACCTTCCGGGTTTGTTTGTTTGGCTTTTTTACGCACAGTTGCGTTAATAACTGCACTGAACTTTTACGTGTGAAGACTGAGCTTACTGTTAAAGAGGACAAGTGCTGTTGTCCTTTTATCTACATTACAGTTCTGGCCCCGGTTGATAAAATGTTCTATAACGCAATCCACCGGATAAATCACTATCCAGTGTGGATACGTATTAAAGATACCAACTGCGTTATCCGCTGGATAGTGACTTATACAGTGGATAGCATATCTACCTTTTGAATAACTAGGGCCTGCCAATTACTCACTGTCATCCAGACGGGTAAAACCTAGGAGCTCTTTTGTTGGGGATCTCACCTGAGAACATTAGGAACCAATCCTTTATAAAATCCTCTCACTCCTTCGTATCTATAAAGTCGACAAAAAAGCTAATGTCAGAAGGCGACTGTTTAAGGTATAAATCTTACAGGGCTGGAAAATTTCACTTTCAAAACTCCTTTCAACAAAAAAGAATAGACGAAGCGAGTCCCTCATCTCACCTGAAAGTTTTACGGATAACGTCCACTGCTCCATTGTATTCGGCCATTGTGTATTGATTCTACAAAATAAAACAAAACAAACCAAAAAAACATTGCTTTTAAGGAAATGAGCTCTGATGAATAACTTAGCTTAAAACTGTATAAAAGGAAGAGGGAGCTTTAAGAATTGAACATTTTTTACTTTGTATTTAAAATAATTACTAGGATGAACTTTTTCTTGACATTTGCTCCACAACTAGCCGTTTCAAGGTGAATCAAAACGCATTCTAAAGATTTTAAAATTTTCGGACAATTCTGTTTCTCGCATTAGATCGTAAGCAACGGTGTAAATTAAAAGTCTTTAGTCACTATTATTTGTTTAAGCAAAAATGCATTCAAGCTAAACTAATATAAAACTTACATTTTCCAAAATTTAAAATCAGTTAAAAAGCCAAAAGAGTACAAAACTTTAAATTCTGTATACAATATTAACATAAGCATTAAAAAAAGAAAAACAGCAACAACAACTTAACATAAGATTGCTACGTTGTTTTTAATAAAGTGCGTATTGATGAAACTATTTTTAAAGCGCTGGGTGGTAACCCCTAGGGAGTTGGCTACTTGGAACTCGGAGGCGCACAGAGTTTTCTTTTGTTTTGGGAAGAGTAGGATACAAAGGGTAGCTGGGCATGCTGCTGTCATAGTGGGTAGAGTCGGAGCAAAACGGTAACGTACTGATTACAACTCCCTCGCACTTTTGACTCTGCTTACGACTCCGAGTTTTGATGGGCTGTAAGCGTCTTAACGACTGCTCTTACGACTTCAACCCAGACTCCGTCGCTAGGGAAAAACAGCTATAAATTTGTATGCGTTCATTTAAGCAATAGACCACACTTTCTATGGGTTTACCGGCGTGATAACCCACACGGGATGTTGGGAGAACACGAGAAAAGCTTGTAAATCACGAGCCGAAGGAGAGTGATTTACAAGCTTTCGTGCTTACAGACGGAACTGGCAGCTATTGTAATGGAGGACTTCATTCACATTTTACAAGCCGCAGTGGTTTAAGATCTGTTTTCTGGACTTTATTATGATCAAGAAATGCTGCGGTAACGACATGGCTGCATTTGCGAAGTTGTCGCATGTAACTTTATATGCACGTACAGCGACCGATGGAAATATGTCAGTGGTGAAGAAAGGTTTCTTTGCCGTAGCCACATATTGGCGCTAATATTTCTCGATTTGTGAAGTCACGTGGTTTGAGGTAGGTTATGGGATCGATATCACCGAATAATTTGTGCAAATGTTGGAAAAAAACCAGCCCGAAACTCTGACATCTTTCATCATCGTTGCTGCATCGTTGGCAGCTTGTTTACAACCTACAGCGGCCGATTTTGTACCATATCTTGATCAGAGATCTCTTTTTGGAACAATTTCTTTCATTAAGGAATTTAATTTTGACATAAAATAAATCAAGAATGCTAAAACTATCCGTTTTGTAGCTGGTTGGCACATGGTTAAGTTTTCCTAGAGACTTTCTACACCAGAAATTCACACAGTTGTTGTCTTTCTCTGCGATGTGGCATCGTCGTGAAATGTAAACTGCTTTCCAGCTTTGTACTTTACAACTTCTAAAGCTATGGCAGTCGCGAATTGTGACCCTCAGTAATAAAATGTGGAAACCATCGCTTTTAATATTAAGAAGGGCTACGGTAAGTAACTTGTTCTGTTTTTTAGCCTTTCTAAAATCGTTGTTTGCAGATCAATAGCGGGTTTTGTTGATGGCTCGTGGTCCGGATGTCTTTTTTTCTGGGTTTACCGGTATAATAAACCATAGGTTTTTGACTAATCAGATCACGCGTACTATCTCAGTTATTTTATAAAACTTAATAGGCCCTTTGCAGCTAGCCATTCAAGTGGTACAAAAAAAAACGTAATGCTGGAGAGCAAGAATCGCACTGGGAGAAGACAAACAAAGGGAATTACGATTTTAAATGCCGTGAGCATTTAAACTTGCCACAAGTCCACTGCGCCAAGCGAGCGAAAGAGAAATCGCAAGACGAGCGCCAACCGACCACCGAACAAGCAGACACCGGAAACGGGGTTTGAGAAAGTCTAGTGAGCCTTTTGTTTGTCTTGTCTCAGTGTGTCCCTTACTCTCCAGCATGGCGGTTTTGTACCACGTGAATCACCAGCTAAAAAGTTCCTGTTGGAATTAATCTTGTGGGCATAACCTTACACTAAGAGATAAAAAGTGGGAGGTCTGTTTACCTGTAGTCTTGATCTGACTACTTGATACGGATACGTGGCTGTGGCAGCGAAGATCTTTGATAATGATACCATTATCAAGTACTCTGTTGAACTCTAGAAGGAGGAGGAAACAATGCATACTAAGGGTCTGTTTTAGCGTCGTCTTGGTATAAAAACTTTCTACTTGCTACATCTATTCCGGAGAAGTTCCTGCTGTGACCTGTGTAAATTTTGAGTCGTGGACATTTGTATATAGTTTTAGATTTTAGGTAAGATCATTAATTTCAAAGTCATTTAATAGATTAGTGTGCCAGCACGTAGGAAAGTGCCCCCAATTAGCTAACTGTTAAGATAAATACGCATGAGAGGACGAGGCCGAGATCCCGGTTGTTCGAGCCGAGATCTCGGCAAGCGGGTTGGTCCACCTTCTTTTATAACCACAAAATTCACTAACAGGAGTGTCTTAAGCTAAAGATAGGTCGAGATAGAAGGAGAATTTCAGAAGGCTGGGCCGATGTTTTTAGTTTGACAGGGCTCAAAAACCACCGACTGTGGTTTGCTCACACCTTGAAAAAGGGCTTTAACTGTTTTCTTATTATTCAATGACCTGTTACTATAAGTAAACAGCTCCATTAATTCTGGCAGACAGACACTGCTGGTAGCCCATCAAGGCATTTGCCAGAGTCAATATTTAGGAATCTTTTAAGTTGACTGGTCGGTAAAGAGGGGACCAATGTTTTAAAATTTAGCAGTGCTATTTAAAGAAAATCAATTAGAAATCATCGATTGTGGTTTGTTCGTGCCTTACAGCTGTAGTAGGAGAATGAATTTCTACGAAATCATGTTCTTGGTGTTCAAAGATTCCATCATTTTTCTCCTGATGATGCACCTTTTACGGAAAACAAAGGTACTGGTCAAGTACTGGTCCAGCGGGGGAGGGGAGGGGGGTACTGTTGAAAATTACGGTGGGGGTGTGCAGCATGCTTCCTGAAAGCCTACCCTGCCTCAGACCAAAAACCTTAATTTGCCCTCCCTTATGTCAGCGTTCAAGAGACGAGTGATAGAAAGAAACACACTATATTAAAAACCATTGTTTCAGAAAGGACAAGCTTACGCTGTTTCACTCGAACAAGGGGTCAACAGCCATACCCTTTACAATCTAAGCCGTACAATTTAACAGTACATAGCTTTAATATATTAGGTCGGTATCACTTTTCTTAGCAAACTGCTAGATCTTCGCATTCTTAAAATGAGCCGCAAGAAACAGAAATACCCTCTCAAGCAGAGAATGCAAAAACAGTATACTAGATAATTATACAATCACATCCTGTTGTGATAATGAAAATCTATAGTTTCTGTACTGACAATTGTACATCCTTGCTCGTAAACGAAACTTAAGTTATGATCAATGTGAACAACCACTTAACACTGACTTGTTAACTTACCAATTTTTTATTGATTGGTGTACCAAAGTAATGGCTGTAGCCTTTCTTAAGTTCTTCATAAGCCATGAACTGGAGAGGACCATGTGACACACCAAACAGTCCGGGGACGTAACCCTATTGAACAAAATACAGAGTACCGTATTTATTCGATTAACCGCCCTGGGCGCTTATTAAATTTTTGGACCTTGAGAGTGGGCGCTTATTCGAGGCTGGGCGCTTATTCGAGGCTGGGCGCTTATTAGATTTTCACCATTTTCAGCAAGTGAAGTATGTTTATTTTGCAACAAAATAATAAATGCTACTAACCAAACGCGAAGAAGTAACAAAGCAAGGTTTCTGTAAAATACTCTGAAGAAAACTCCGTCCTCAAGGAAGTCTCTTATTGGAACTTATTCACTTAATTGGATGAGGTGGGGGTGAGTGCTTATTTGAGTTTGATTGGGGGGAGGAGGGGGTGGGCGCTTATTCGAGGTGCGCGCTTATTCGAGGTTGGGCGCTTATTCGAATACATACGGTATATGTAGCTGACATTCATCGCGATAAAACATTTCAAGTGAGCCTATTTTGTAATTTGCACCATTTGCACTGAATCAGGTTCTAGTTGGTCAAAAGGTCGATAACGCTATCCACAAGGCCCCAGTTTCTTTCCTAAGGTTGATAACGCTATCCACCGGAAAAATCTTTACACACTAGATGGCGGAATTAGTTTTCCTCACACTCATACTGGATGATGATTTATCTGGTGGATAGCGCTATCCGACGCTTGGAAAACTAGAACCAAACATCAGAAGCTTTAGCAACGACGACCGCATGAATTTAAGATAGGAAACAGGAAACAAAATTCGTCGTCGCTCGTTTACGGCCCCCACAAAACGTGAAATTATGCAATTTTTACGTCGTAGTCGTGCGGTGGCGGCAAAGAAATCTTCAAGAAACTGTGCAGAGTTGTTGCTTTTTCCGCCATAAAACCTGTAATTGTTTTTAAACATTCTTGTTGCCCTATTCACCGTGATTCCTGTTATATCATGCAATACAATACAATAACTTTTCCTAACTCTCCCAAAGGGCTATTCTGAAGTTAATTTACAAATGCTAACAAAAGAACGGGATAAGAAGAAAAAGCTTAAATTGATTACAATCTTGGTACAAAACTAAAAGCCTAAACTATGCGCGTACAATTACGTTATCTCTTTGGAGATCTAAAATAAATCAAATATTAACTATTTAACGTATGGGTTCTGCTACCGCAATTCGCGTTTGACGCTCCTCTTAAAGGTACATAGTGACGGGCTATTTCTAGTGTCTGCAGTCAGAGAGTTCAAGGCACTTACAGCGCGATAGTAAAATGACCGTTGCGCAGTAACTGTTCTGCATAGAGGGAGATTTAGATTGTCTCTTTTTCCTCGTGTTGTAGTTGTGTGCGTCTAATCGCTTACTGAGTTTACTACGCAAGTACAACGGAGCGAGGCTATTAACAATATTGTTTAATTTTGTTTTGTATTTGTTGCGTAGTATCACGGACTAATAGCTGATCTTTGATGGAGGGCCACCCTAATTCCCGAAGAACAGGCGAGATGTGATCAAACTTTTTAGTATCTGCTAATACGCGGGCGGCGAAGTTTTGCACTGATAATATTGTAACTTCTGTAGATTTTGCTTAGAGGTGTTCTGCCCAGACAGTGGAACAGTAAAAAGGTTTACTAAAAATAAGAGAATTCAAAACAGTTGACAAGACAGGTTTAGTAAATAGGTGCCTCACCCTACTAATCTGATATAACGTGGACAGGAGAGACGATGTAAACGTGTATACATGATCATTAAAATTGAGGTATTGAGTCCAGTGTAATGCCTAAGTCTTTAACTGAGGATACCGGACCCGATGTTTAGCCTGATCGACCTCGCTCTTATTACGTGCCCAAAATACTGGCATTTTCTTTTCTTTATTATTGGTAATGATGACCTTGTTGTACTTGCCATCTTTAAAACTTCTTCATCGGTTTTATGTTCCGTCCATGATACTCTTAACATACTTCTATATTTTAGCGACTAATGAAAAAGTCAAGAATGGTCATAAAAGTTGATCCATACGGCACTTTGATGATAAATCGCGGCAATCATATTTTGATTGTGTTTCATTTACACGGGCGTGTTTAAAAAACGAAATGACGAAATAGCGAAATGGCGAAATGACTTTCCTAAAGAGTAAAAACAAATGACTTCCTCTATTTTGTCGTGTCCAGTTGTTATGTCTTTGCCTTCCATGAACTGTCAAAACTCTGCTCAGCATGCTGATGCAAGACCTCACAAATCTTGTTGTGCCATCGCCGTTATCGCAGTCACTTGTTCTTTCTCGTACTAAGGATCTCTCCTCTCCCCAGGGACATCTCGGTTTTGTCAGTTTCTGCACGCCGTCTTGTTTTAAAGCCATTTATTGGCAATTGCAATAGAGCAAATTTCACGTTACAGTTATTGCTTTTGTTTGCAAATAAATTTCATTAAGCAAATCAGATCAGGCAATACCCTGTTTATATTTAGGATAGACTCACACAAAATTATAATTATACCCTGTTTATTTGTAGAACTGTTAGCAGTTTTTGACTTTGGACTTATACTTCTTCATCCTCACGTGCGTTAAAGTTGACGGTAGCTTTTCTTTGTAATACGCTCCGCCACATCTACGTCTCTGATGACACTAAAGTTAATTTCCCCACAGAAGAGCTATTTTCGGCGCGTATGATAAGCTTGCGTGGGCACACGGCGCGTGACAACAAGCTTTCAAATCTTATGGCTGCGCATTGGTGTAGAGCTCGGGTCAACAAAACGCGTGGTAACTCCACCGACCGAATAGTAGGGAGGAAAACCGATCAAAGAAAAATATGTATATTTGTAAATACTTTTAGTCATTTTGCCATTTCGAGTTTTAAACATGCCCCATTTATACTGCTGCCGTAAGCATGTTAATAGCTATGATACAAACGTACTTAAGCAAATGTTGCGAACCTTGCAGTTTTGTCTCGTTAACATTTTCATTCAATTTTTTGGTGTATATTTCTATCGCTTTATGTTATATATGACTGGATTATCATTATGGGACAGTGAGCACGAACATAACACTGTAAACATGTTGTGCTCCCTCAAAAAAAAAAATTGTCATATTACAATTCCTACAGGCCTCCTCATAACGGCCACCTTTCAACAAGGGCCACTTTCTTCTGTCCCCAAGGTGGGCCATTGTGGAGAGGTTTGACTGTACACAAAATGTACAAAATATTAATGTACTAATTTCCTAGGAGAGAAGAAAATAGCAGCAGTAGGAACTCAAACAGATAGGAGAGAAGAAAATAGAAAGAAAAGAACCTTCATAGCTGTTCTACAGCTACTCCCAGCAATGTGTATTTAAATACATGAATTCCAATGAAGGTTTAAAATATGAATTCTATACAAAATATTGTTTTGTTCACTGTTGTAATCACTTACCTGAAAAAGTAGAGTCCCCTTGTAGACTTATAACCCCATACTTTCGGTGTCACACCATGAAGTAAAAAAAAAGGAACTTGTACTCATTCCTTTAATTTTTTTGTCCTTTTTTTTATTTCTTGCTATTTTTTTATTTATTTATTTTTTTTTTTTTTCACTGAGCCAGGCTTTAAGCTACTAGGAGAAAAAAAAAAGAGAAAACGCCGTGACAATAAGTATAAATATTAGCTGGCTTACTTTCCAGGAACAGGAGAAATCTTATCAGGAAAAAGTAGTAGTGAATGGTGTAATAAGAAGTGGATTTCTAGTACCCAAAGCATGTGAAGTTTTGTGCGTAAAGTTCTATGGAAGGATTGTTCCCAAAATGAGGTAGATCTGTCCTCCCTGAAGACACTGCTAAGCTTACTAACTTAGTCCTTTAAACTGAAAGATAAATAAATAATCTGCATTGCTCCATGAGGCACAAAAACGACCAAACAAATCACTTAACTAAGGGTTAAGTATGTTGTGAATGTACTAACCTGGTACAACCCCTTTAAACCCCCTGTTCCGACAATGGACTGCACTGCATCAACTAGACCTCTGTACACTGGCAACTTCCCACTGCCATCATTACACTGTAACAAATAACAAAAACATTCATATAATAAATAAAGCTATTGTGTGAAACTAGATGCATTAACAAAATTATGTAAGGCATGCTTTTATAAGGTCTTTTTCTTAAATGCAGATAACAATTGCTAATTAAGCCTAAAAATTTCAAGGCTTCAATGGAATTCGAACCCATGACCACTCTATTTACATGTATAGTGCTGCAATGCTTTACCATATGAGCAACATGTAAAAAGACCTGTACATTGGGACCAGTTCTTAACTCTTGAAGGAAATATTAAACATAGTTCTAATAAAAATGATCTGCAGAAATACAAGGCCTGTTTTCCTCTTCTCTTTTCTACAATAGCCTATCAATTTTCTATTTTCTAACTCATCATTATACAGAGTCATGTCATCAGCTTGCAAGTAGGATAGGACGCACCCCGTGTCAATGAGGCGGATTGAAAAATGGGTGGAACAAATTTAAGAATAAAATTGCCTCCAAGGCTCAAGTGCTCCTCAATGAAAAACCCCATGATAACCACCTCATAAATGGGTTTCTTTTAATTAAGAGAGAACATTATTATGCCTGTGTAGCTGGTGGGATTCAGTACTCATGACAGTTATAAAAGAACCTGTGGTTATTAGCCTATAAAACTATAAGAAGAATGGGGATTGGGAAAAGCCACATGCAGGGACATCAATGAGCACTTTTAAACTTTGGTCCCTCCAGCTATGCGAGCTATAATAGTTGGCGATCAAATTTGACTCATTTATTTTATGCTCGGGGAAGCAAGGTAATATTTTTCATTTAAAAAATCATAAAAGAAAACCTTCAGACAGTTTCACCCAGGCCAGGGTCTACTTATATGACCTGTATTATCATTTGCCAAATTATGGGTTAGGGAAGGTCTTAAATTCTCATGATGTTCACCTGGTTGCCTTCCAAAATTTTACAAAATGTCAATTTCCTCCACCACTACATTCAAACCTAAAAATAACGTCTTGAATTTTTCCCTCACTTAGGGCAAACAATCCAACCCATCCTCTACTAAACCCACCATTTTTCCCCTGGTTTGCCCAGGGTCCTACCCCTGGAGCAAGCTTATGACATGTACATTACGCTCATCATTAACCACATTTTTCTTGACCCTATCGCACACCTATTTTGATCATGCAGTGTACCACCCTTTTTATTTACATGTATGATTGACTGATTCTCCTAAGATGAGGAAGTCTGGAACTCCTATAAGGCACATTTTTGTACGTAATTTCAGGACGGGGATTAGTCAACAACAATTGTCAGGAAAATAAGATTAATGAAGATAATTACTGCAATGGCAGGATTAGGAATGTTAATGAGGAACCTATAAAAATGGCCATCGTTAGGACTTAATTTTTCGTCTGAGAGAAGAGTCCAGCTTATCTTTTTAATCACGAGGAAAGGCAAAATCCAACTGAAGTTGACCTTTTTGGGCAAATAAATACGTGTACGTCTTAAATATACATGAAGAAGTGTCTGAACCTTATTTATAGCCTTTTTCGCTTTCCGCCACACGGACACGGCTAGTTGCATATATAGCATTACATTTAACATTGCAATGCATTTGCACGTTACACACAACCAAGTTATTCCTAGTATCTTACCTTGAAACCTAATTTTTATCAGGTCCAGTGGATGCAGTACAAGAGCGGCAGGTACAAAACGCAGGTCACAGGTCACAGGTCAGGTCACAGGCCACAGGTCACAGGTCACAGGGCACAGGTCACAGGGCACAGGGCACAGGGCACAGGTCACAGGTTACAGGGCACAGGGCACAGGTCATAGGGCACAGAAAACGCAGTAAAAACAGTTAAGACACTCCATTAGGCTTTTTTGTTTTATTTCCGGTTACGCCACAATCAGGCATATGCTTGCCATCGACCATGCTTTCCGGTTTTGTACTGAGGGTTGAACAAGTAAATGGCTAAAGTTACACATTGTATTGGAACTTGAGGAGTTCCTTCTCTGGAGATCGCGAAACGAGGCTTTTTCTTCGCTCCACGCGAGTGGACTTGGAACGAGGCCCTGAGAGGAGAATGGAACGGAAAATAGCCTCGTCTGTGCAGAAAGCAACATGGCGGAAGACCAGAGTTTCGAGGTAAGAAAACAGCACTTGCTGACAAGTTATTTTGGCCTCAGTTCCACTGAAGAACTGAAAAATAACTTAGTGAATTATCAACACACGTCTACTTCGCTAACTATCGACTGTGCTGCAATCGTGAATTGCCGATTTCGGTTTGTTGCTGCGTACATTGATGTTTAAGACTTAAGTTGTCATTAAGTTGAGCAATGGAAACATGGTATGATTCTAGCCGTAGTTACGAAATAGTGACACTTTTTAGACCAAGACCGTTTGCATAATTTGAAAGTTTTTTATATAACTATAATCTTCAAAACCAAACGTACTTGTTCGGTATCGCTGTTAGCAGTCCATGCATCAGGACCGAGCTTCGTTCCATTTTATTACGCGAATGAAAGAAGATGTATAGGATATGCAA